CGTGGCACAGCGTTGCTTGTGTGCCGGATGTCGCCCGTGATGTCGCCCGTGGCACAGCGTTGCTTGTGTGCCGGATGTCGCCCGTGATGTCGCCCGTGGCACAGCGTTGCTTGTGTGCCGGATGTCGCCCGTGATGTCGCCCGTGGCACAGCGTTGCTTGTGTGCCGGATGTCGCCCGTGATGTCGCCCGTGGCACAGCGTTGCTTGTGTGCCGGATGTCGCCCGTGATGTCGCCCGTGGCACAGCGTTGCTTGTGTGCCGGATGTCGCCCGTGATGTCGCCCGTGGCACAGCGTTGCTTGTGTGCCGGATGTCGCCCGTGATGTCGCCCGTGGCACAGCGTTGCTTGTGTGCCGGATGTCGCCCGTGATGTCGCCCGTGGCACAGCGTTGCTTGTGTGCCGGATGTCGCCCGTGATGTCGCCCGTGGCACAGCGTTGCTTGTGTGCCGGATGTCGCCCGTGATGTCGCCCGTGGCACAGCGTTGCTTGTGTGCCGGATGTCGCCCGTGATGTCGCCCGTGGCACAGCGTTGCTTGTGTGCCGGATGTCGCCCGTGATGTCGCCCGTGGCACAGCGTTGCTTGTGTGCCGGATGTCGCCCGTGATGTCGCCCGTGGCACAGCGTTGCTTGTGTGCCGGATGTCGCCCGTGATGTCGCCCGTGGCACAGCGTTGCTTGTGTGCCGGATGTCGCCCGTGATGTCGCCCGTGGCACAGCGTTGCTTGTGTGCCGGATGTCGCCCGTGATGTCGCCCGTGGCACAGCGTTGCTTGTGTGCCGGATGTCGCCCGTGATGTCGCCCGTGGCACAGCGTTGCTTGTGTGCCGGATGTCGCCCGTGATGTCGCCCGTGGCACAGCGTTGCTTGTGTGCCGGATGTCGCCCGTGATGTCGCCCGTGGCACAGCGTTGCTTGTGTGCCGGATGTCGCCCGTGATGTCGCCCGTGGCACAGCGTTGCTTGTGTGCCGGATGTCGCCCGTGATGTCGCCCGTGGCACAGCGTTGCTTGTGTGCCGGATGTCGCCCGTGATGTCGCCCGTGGCACAGCGTTGCTTGTGTGCCGGATGTCGCCCGTGATGTCGCCCGTGGCACAGCGTTGCTTGTGTGCCGGATGTCGCCCGTGATGTCGCCCGTGGCACAGCGTTGCTTGTGTGCCGGATGTCGCCCGTGATGTCGCCCGTGGCACAGCGTTGCTTGTGTGCCGGATGTCGCCCGTGATGTCGCCCGTGGCACAGCGTTGCTTGTGTGCCGGATGTCGCCCGTGATGTCGCCCGTGGCACAGCGTTGCTTGTGTGCCGGATGTCGCCCGTGATGTCGCCCGTGGCACAGCGTTGCTTGTGTGCCGGATGTCGCCCGTGATGTCGCCCGTGGCACAGCGTTGCTTGTGTGCCGGATGTCGCCCGTGATGTCGCCCGTGGCACAGCGTTGCTTGTGTGCCGGATGTCGCCCGTGATGTCGCCCGTGGCACAGCGTTGCTTGTGTGCCGGATGTCGCCCGTGATGTCGCCCGTGGCACAGCGTTGCTTGTGTGCCGGATGTCGCCCGTGATGTCGCCCGTGGCACAGCGTTGCTTGTGTGCCGGATGTCGCCCGTGATGTCGCCCGTGGCACAGCGTTGCTTGTGTGCCGGATGTCGCCCGTGATGTCGCCCGTGGCACAGCGTTGCTTGTGTGCCGGATGTCGCCCGTGATGTCGCCCGTGGCACAGCGTTGCTTGTGTGCCGGATGTCGCCCGTGATGTCGCCCGTGGCACAGCGTTGCTTGTGTGCCGGATGTCGCCCGTGATGTCGCCCGTGGCACAGCGTTGCTTGTGTGCCGGATGTCGCCCGTGATGTCGCCCGTGGCACAGCGTTGCTTGTGTGCCGGATGTCGCCCGTGATGTCGCCCGTGGCACAGCGTTGCTTGTGTGCCGGATGTCGCCCGTGATGTCGCCCGTGGCACAGCGTTGCTTGTGTGCCGGATGTCGCCCGTGATGTCGCCCGTGGCACAGCGTTGCTTGTGTGCCGGATGTCGCCCGTGATGTCGCCCGTGGCACAGCGTTGCTTGTGTGCCGGATGTCGCCCGTGATGTCGCCCGTGGCACAGCGTTGCTTGTGTGCCGGATGTCGCCCGTGATGTCGCCCGTGGCACAGCGTTGCTTGTGTGCCGGATGTCGCCCGTGATGTCGCCCGTGGCACAGCGTTGCTTGTGTGCCGGATGTCGCCCGTGATGTCGCCCGTGGCACAGCGTTGCCTGTGTGCCGGATGTCGCCTGTTGGACAGCGTTGCCTGTGTGCTTTGGGAGGCCATTATAAATAAAAGGAAACGTCTGTGCATTACCGGCATTAATACCACACACAGGTGTCATTCCTCCTTATCAGAGCCGGGCGGCTCCCGGGCGTTGTGGTGATTGTGACCTGTGTACAGTTATTGCAGCTTTCCCACTTCCTGAGCCTGGAGCACATGACCTGTGACTACACCCCGAATCATGCTGACAATGTACTGTGATCGGGGCGGATCCTCTGACGGATATATAATGAACTTATAATAGTTTCTTGCAGATAGGGCTGATATGGTC